TGCTTTCCACCTTTCTTCATCTATTTTCAATATAGAGTTTTGTTTGCTTCATCTTCAATGTCAGATGAATTTCAGTCTATAATTATTCGGGCACTCTGTCAAATATGCAGGTGGTCCTTGATTCATGATTACAATTGGTACCGGAATTTCCATTGCTAAGCAAGGCAGTTGCCAAGTGATTGTGCCCAATTTTATGACCTTTTGCTACAGTTATTAAGTGAATCACTGCAGTTGTTAAGTGAATCACACAGCCATTAAGCAAATCCAGCTTCCCCCTCTGATTTAGCCTGGCTGGAAAGTTTACAAATAGCAACTGGGATCCTGGGATGCTGCAACCGTCATAAATACATGCTGGTTGCCAAGTGCCCCAAGTATGACCCTGGGGATGCTGCCGCAGTTCTAAGTGCAAGGACTGATCATAAACCTCTCTTCAAACAGTCAGTAAATGAATGGCTGTAAGTTGAGGACTATCTGTAATCCCTTCACATTATTCTTCATTGTCACCGCATAATCATAGGAAATATTGCTAAGGGTGTATTCTTGGTCAGAGGATTTATTTGTTTTTGTATAAATTTGCAAGAACAACTTCATGATCTTAAGCCATAGTCAATATCAGGTCTTTTTCTTTTTCCTGTCTGAATAGAGCTTCCCAAACTTTGCATGCACATGCATAAACCAATTGGATTTTGCTATTGTCCATCCAATTATGCCCGTATGTAGAGCTGTCTTTTCAATTTTTGAAAGAAGATATTTGCTTTAAATTTTGAATTTTGGTTGAATTTTCATGGTAACACTCTGTCAGTACCTCACTTCATTTTGTACATCAAGGCAAATTTTCCCATTATGCCACATATTATTTTACATTCAACTTCTCCTGCAAAAAAAAATCTGTCTTAAATAATACAGCATATGATATTCAGAAATTTTCACATACACAGGAGCATTTTCTTGGGAAAATGTACTTGGTACAAAGAAGCATGCTTCAGAAATAACAGATCCTTGGAAGTACCCACCACTCATAATTAACTATATAGATTTTTATGTATACATCTGAAGTCTTTATCTGAATGCATCATTTTTCTTGAGGGACTCCAGAAACAAACGAAATGGTTTGTTTCTGGAGTCCCTCAGGATTTGTTTCTGGAGTCCCTCAGGATTTCCTGCCTGAGCAGGGGGTTGGACTAGATGACCTCCAAGGTCCCTTCCAACATTATTATTATTATTATTATTAACATCCAAGAGGAATTTTACTTTTATCTTAGTGCACAGGTGTCAAACTTGATCGCATCACGTGACATATTATGACATATTGTGATGTTTTTTGCCTTTGCGGAGCCAGGGTGGGCGTGGCCTGTGTGTGATATATCCAGCCCAGTTTGACACTGTCTTAGTGGGAAAAGAGGAAAATTAGCACTTTCTCAAAAAAGGTAAATATTACCTCAAGTAAGTCATGCTAACACCTGGCCACAATATAAAAGTGATTTGACATTTACTTCCCACATTGTCTCATGCCTAAGACTGTTCTGGTGGCCTCCTATCTAAGTAGACTTGCTTAGCTTTTTTAGAGGTAAACCTAGATCTTCTATCTAGCGCTCCCATCTGCTTAGTAGGTGGGAAATGCTAAGTGGTATCCCAACGTACACCAAGAGAAAATTGCATTTCTTGAAATCAGAAGGAGTCCAATTTGATTATTCTGATTTTTTTATTGAAAAGCCTAAACATGTGGGAACTGTAGTTCACTTCACCTGATGCATGGAGTAGTTAAACTCAGATGAGATTTAAGGCATGTTTCTCTTATTATGCTGAAACTGAAGAAGTCATCAGTACACTGACCATGACTGGCGAGTTTTGACAGACTTGCTATGAGGGTGGATTTTGCTAGAGAGAAAGTATATATTAGCTCTGCCACTTCTTTCATTCCACTACATCATTATGCATTCAGATTATATTTCCAGAAGCTTTTATTTCTAGGCTGACAGCACCACACCACAAATATTACAAAGAGAAAATGCCTTTTAATCACATTTTGAGCTAGCTAGATTTAAAATAATGAATGGTGCATATTTATGTAGAGACATGTATCGTCTATGAGAGGGAGTTGTAATGACTAAGAAAAAAGACTGCTTAATCAGAGGTGTGCCAGGCAGGAATAAATCACTGTTGCCTTTAGGAATTTCATGTCAGATCCAACACAAAGGCTTTAAGTTAACCTAATAATTAAATCCTATTTCACTTCACTGTAAGTGGAAAACTTGTTTACTTTGGAATTCTCCCTTTGGTTAAAGCCACACATTTTAAACACAGAAAATGTTTTAGACTAGAATGTTGAAGTTTTTTTTCCCATAACAATAAAAAAATTCATTGTTATTGAGATACAGTTTCAGTCAAATGGAAAACCAGGGTTGTGATTCAGAGTTAAGTCAGTTAGTCCTGTCTTCCATCACGTATTTGCTCTGAAATATAGCATACTCCCTATATTTTAATCTGTAAACTGACTGCTTATTTGAAAATCAATGTAAATTTACAGCTGTCAGGAGTCAGCATTCAGCCCAGGGACCATTCCTGCATAAAGCAAAAGCTAATGCACCACACTTCAAAAGACAGAACCAAAGATGTCCACAAAGTCACATTCCATTTTCCAAACCACAATAAAATAATTCTAATTCAAAATCTGAAGAGAGTAAATAAAGATTGTCTATGCACAATAAGAACATCGTTAAGGAAAAAGACAGGATGAAAAATGAATTCCAATTAGAACAGAATTTCTCTAGAGGAACTGATAGATAAAATTACATTCCTTTGTTTTAAGAGGAAAAAGAGCTCTCAAATTTCCTATTTACGGTAGTTTCTGTTTCCTATTTAGAAAAAAAGAGTGAGTGTTGGAGAATGGGAGAAAAAAAGAGAGTCAAAATGAAAGGATGTCTTGTCAAAACATCTTTTAGATGACATCAGAAATCTAAGGTTTTCCATCCTGCTGAGATTTTTGCATTAGGTTTTTACTTTCTTTGAACTCCAGGCAGAACATTACAGTCACTATACCTGGTTTGTTGTTAAGAGATGGTAATAACTACCTAAGTAACTACACCACAGGCCAAAGAATAGTACAACCAGTCCCACAGATTCGAGGAGATGTTGGCTTGGGTTTTTCTAACAGCAGCTTCTATTCTCTTGCCAAGACTCTTATATATCTGAAGGGTGATTTGTTAAAATAATTTTAAGTTAACTTAGTGGGTTTTTTTTAACTTCACAGACCAATTAAACTCCTGTACAGCCAAGAAGTTTTCCAAGTCTGGCCATAATTGTTAATTTTGTTTAAACAATTTTTGCTTACACTGTTCAAAAGTCTAAAAGAACATTTGTTAGCTATAGCAACTTTAAAATAAGTGGATTTCAACTCCCAGAATTCCCCAGCCAGGAATTAATTGACTGCTCTAAAGCAGTTTATAATCATTTCCATCTTAGAGATGGGGGGGGGAAGGTAAAAGCAAAGCCTATCGCATCCAAGATTAACACAAAAAAGCTCAACAAATTTGATTTAAAAGAGCCAGTTTTGTCTAGTGATTAAGGCACCAGGCTAGAAACCAAGAAACTGTGAGTTCCACTCCAGTCTTAGCCATAAAAACTAGCTGGGTGTCTTTGGACCAATCATTCTCTCAGCCAAAGTTACTCACAGGGTTGTTGTTTTGGGAAAAATAGGAGAAGGGATAGTAGATGTATTTGCCATCTTGAGGATGATGATGGTGGTGGTGGTGGCAAGATTTTAAAAAAGATCTTAAATAAGAGTTTTAGAAGGCAGCAAAGTGGAAAATAATCTAACCCTCCTGAGGAAGAAATTCTACAACCAGGGCACCATCTCATTTTATTAAATTATTTCAATAAAAAATGGAGCTGGCTATTGTCCAAACCCCTCTAGTATTTATATCCTGTAATGCAGTGGTTCTCAACCTGTGGGTCGGGACCCCATTTGGGGTCAAATGACCATTTCACGGGGGTCGCCAAACCACGCTGTTCGCCATTTTTTTCCCTTTTCCCTAGCTGTCCTACTCCCTCTTATTGGTGGCCACACCCACTTGGGGGTCACCACAACATGGGGAACTATATTATGGGGTCACGGCATTAGAAAGGTTGAGAACCACTGCTGTAATGCGTTACAAGAATTAAAGCCCTTCATCTACTTTCTGAGTAAATTCTGAAGCAGCCTGTCTTGTAATATATCCAACACCCCCTTCCCCACTCCTGTGCCAATGTAAACTTGAAGAAACGTGACTGGAGCCTGCAAGGTCCCAGCTGAAAGCTCTTCTCTTTCAACCGCTACTCTGCCCAATATGCACTGCAGCATTATAACTGGGGAGGGTTTTCTGCTTTTCCTAGCCTAACTTAACGTTCACGAAGCATCTCGCATTCAAAGAATCTGCGCCTTAAAACTGCCACAAAAGTTTCCAAGCAACCCACCCTCTGGCTTAGAAATTAAAAAAAAAAAAAAAAAAACCACTGCAAGCCAGAAATATCAGAGACCCCCGAGGTTGGGAAAAAACAGCTTCTAAGCGTGTTAGATACACCATTTGAGTTGTAGCGATGATTATTATTTTTTTAAGCTGGGAGACAAGTTGCAACCGCCTTGTTTATTCAGCCACGCGTTTCGTGCCGGCGACACTTTCTACGGAGCAGAAATTGGCACGAGGTGCCAGCCGCGAATATCGAGGGCTGCCCTCAAGGGAGCCGTCCGAAGAAAGAGGCTGAATTGCTCTGATTTGCTCGCCTGGCTTCTCACTTTACTAAACCAAGGCTGGCCTTGCCCTCGGGGGCTAAATTAAGCCCTGGCTTGACCGAGGGAGTTTCGGTGCACAGCATTTCATGAAAATACACGGGGGAGGGGGAGAAATAAAGATCCAAAAATGTTCCAAGGACACAGTTTTCCTGGCCCAGGAATGCGCCGCTTCTTCGCGGCGGTGCGCCCAACAACTCCCGGGCGGTCTTGGCAGCCGCTGCCGCCTACTCACCATCTCTTTACGGAGCAGGGCCAAGGCGGCGTCGAGGTTAGGGGGCTTCGGTGGGCGAGGAGATCCTCGCCCCGCTCCGCCGCCGCCACGGCTACCTCTCCGGCTCAGCTCGTCCTGAATGCGAGACTTCTGCGCGTAGAGCCGCTCCAGGTCTCTCCAGCGCCCTCCGGCTCCGCCAGGGGCGCCTCCGCTGGAAGAAGAATTCAGTAAGCCGCTCAGGCTCTTGGGCAGCGGAGGCAGCCCCGACCCGCCGCTGTCGATGCTCCAAGGCAGCCCCGACGCGCTCATGGTGCTCGGAGGGACGTCGCCTCTAAGTCAGCCGAGTTAATCCGCGGCGACAAAACAACGTCGCGCCGCCTCTTCTCCAGCCTGCATTGAGAAAAGCCTCTTTCTGATCGGATCGGGCCCGCCCCCTTTGGCCGGCCTCGCCTCAGCCCGCCCCGCCCCGCTCCGCCCTCTCCGGGCCTTCGCTTTCAGGACCGGCCCCTGAAAGGAAACGAAGAGCGAGCGAGTGATCGGAAAAGCGGGCTCCTAAAGAGGAGCGGCTGAAATAGAAGGCGTTGAATGGTACCACTCAGCTGTCCTCCTGCGAGTAATACGGAGCAAAATCGGCGAGGCAGCGTGTGGTTCAAAGAACTGAAACAGATTACAGGTAGTCCTTCGACTTACGGCCACAATTGAGTCCAACATTTATGTTGTTAAGTGATAATTTGTTAAGTGAGTTTTGCCCCATTTTACCACGTTTCTTACCACAGTTGTTAAGCGAATCACCGCAATTGGTAAGTCAGTAGCCGGGCTGTTAAGTGAATCTGGCTTCCCCATTGACTTTACTTGTCAGAAGGTTGCAAAAAGTGATCACATGACCCTGGGACTCTGCAACCATCACAACTATGAACCGGTTGCCAAGCATCTGAATTTTGATCACATGGCTCATGGGGATGCTGCAAAGGTTGTAACTGAAAAACGGTCATAAATCACTTTTCAATGCTGTTGTAAGTTTGAACAGTCTCTAAGTTGCAAGTTGAGAACTTCCTGTGTATGCCTTCCATTTGGTGTCGACTAGTGACCGCGTAGCTAGATTTTCTCCTGATGATCTATCCGTCACCTGGTTTTTGGATGTAACCTAGTTATCTATTTTTAAAACCATCAGGTCTATGAGGAGAAAATCTAGAGCTGGATTCTTTTCCAAAACTCTTCTCCTTTTTCCAACTTGGTGAAATAAGGAACCACTGCAATAATTGTAAGAGAGAGCCAGATTGGGGTGGGGGTTAAACGACTACAAATCCAGCTGGGTGGCCTTGGGTTAGTCACTCAGTCTCAGCCCTAGGAAGCAGGCAAGAGCAAAGCACTTCTGAAATCTTGCCAAGCAAACTGCAGGACTTGTTGGGAAAGTTGCCAGGCATTTAAACTAACTGAAAGATGGACACAAATACAATAGATTCAAGATATTCATGCTAATGATGTTTTAGAAAGATGCCACGTACAGTGATTTAGTGAATACTGAATTATTGCTCCTTGGGGAAACACAGGACACTTGTTTATAGGAGAAGAGCTGAAACCGGGCAGAGCATCGCCTTGTTCGACCTCAGCTGGGAATGTGTGCATCAGGCAACTCAAATGTGTTCCTCTTCTGCAGATGTCCATGAATAATCATGAAAGCACCACAAACATTGAGTTTGGGATTACAAATAAATTTGAGCAAATAGACAATTTTGAAAATAGAGAATATGCAAATTAAGAGGATTAACTGATATATATATATATATATATATATATATATATATATATATATATATGTAGGTCTTTGGTTGCTCGGGTTTTCTCCCGCGTAAAATTGGAAGTGTCTTGGCGACGTTTCGACGAAGTCCCATTCGTCATCTTCAGGCTGGTGTTTTCAGCTTCGTGCTTCGAGCAGCAATGTGTGGTCTTAGCTGTTTCTTCCTTTTAACTGCCAGTGGGGGTATGAACTGATTGGGTGGGAGCTTGGCTGTGTTCTGATTGGGTGGAGGTGTGTTCTGATTGGTTAGGGGCTTGGCTGTGCTCTGATTGGCTGGGGGGTTGGCTGTGCTCTGATTGGCTGGGGGGTTGGCTGTGCTCTGATTGGCTGGGGGAGTGTTCTGTTTGGTTGTGCTCAGGTTAGTCTGAGTTGCAGAGGGGTTTAAGATTTTGGGCTGCCTTGCTAAAATCTTAAACCCCTCTGCAACTCAGACTAACTTGAGCACAACCAAACAGAACACTCCCCCAGCCAATCAGAGCACAGCCAACCCCCAGCCAATCAGAGCACAGCCAACCCCCCAGCCAATCAGAGCACAGCCAGCCCCTAACCAATCAGAACACACCTCCACCCAATCAGAACACAGCCAAGCTCCCACCCAATCAGTTCATACCCCCACTGGCAGTTAAAAGGAAGAAACAGCTAAGACCACACATTGCTGCTCGAAGCACGAAGCTGAAAACACCAGCCTGAAGATGACGAATGGGACTTCGTCGAAACGTCGCCAAGACACTTCCAATTTTACGCGGGAGAAAACCCGAACAACCAAAGACCTACATACAAATACCCGCGAAAACTTCAGAAAACATATATATATATATATATATATATATATATATATATAGAGAGAGAGAGAGAGAGAGAGAGAGAGAGAGAGAGAGAGGGAGAAGGAAGGAAAGGGAAAGAAAGAAAGAAAGAAACAAGAAAGAAAGAAAGAAAGAAAGAAAGAAAGAAAGAAAGAAAGAAAGAAAGAAAGAAAGAAAGAAAGAAAGAAAGAAAGAAAGAAAGATCTTCATCAGGGTCCAGTCCAAGCTGGGAATAAACAAAATGGAGATTGCTTAGGAAAGAAGGTTCAGTTTATTTAGTTGCCAGAAACTTCAGTGACACTGCATGTTTCTGGGGTGGCTGACAAAATGGAGCTGGGATAGATGGGCTTTTATATGTTTTTTGGGCTTTGTATTTTAGGTTCTTCCTGTTCCTGTGGCATGTACTTTGAGGTGAGCTTGAGTGTGTTCTTTTGGTATTCTAATGATGGTGGGTTAATTCTATTATGTCCTGAAGGGCATGTCCTGTTTCTCTGGGGCTGGGGCTGAAGGCATTTTGCTTATGAATAAGTAGCCCCAGTTTTTCTGAATAGGATTATCAAATCTGCATTTCTTTTTTTATATATAAAAATTTTATTGGTTTTTTTTTCATCAACATATGTTAGTTTTTCCAATCAACAAGTTGTCTGGAATTTGCTATGCTAATACATGTTCAATTCCTAATCCTTCATTCTTTTCTCTAACCAAGAATAAAATAAGTTCCAAATTTGATAGTAGTCTGTATCTTCTTTATCTTTCAACCTCATAGTTAATCTGTCCATCTCTGCACATTCCAATATTTTCCTGATTATTTCTTCCTCTGATGGCAGTCCTTCATTCTTCCAGTATTGTGCAAAAATTATTCTCGCTGCTATAGTGATCTGTAAGATTAAATATAATTTCCGCTTATTAGTCTTTTCGGCATAATACCTAGTAAAAAAAGTTCAGGTTTAAAATCCACTTGTTCACCCAATATTTTTTCTAACCACATATGTATCTTTCTCCAATAAGCCTTTGCCTTACCACATGTCCACCAAAAGTGATAATACGTGCCTATGTTATGTTTACATTTCCAACATCTATCTGACATATTTTTAAACATTTTTGCTAATCTTGCTGGCGGTAGGTGCCATCTATAAAACATTTTATACAGATTTTCGTTGTATGAAATGGACATTGTTAATTTATAGTTTCTCTCCCATAACATTTGCCATTTTTCTAATTCTATATTGTAGCCAAAAATTTTTGCCCATCTTGTCATTGTTTCTTTCATTTGTTCACTTTCCATTTCTACAGCACTAGCTTGCTCAGTTTTGGGCAGAAAAGTCTTTTAAGATTTTTCTTTCCTCCATTATTCTGCCTTTTAATATCCCCAAAAATATTTCCTTCCGGGGTGTGTGTGGATGCTGACTTCCAATACACACACATTATACATAGACATACATACACATAATGTCAGGGGTACTGAATGACAGGTATTGCAATCCACTTGCCCAATCCTGATTTATTCAAGATGGTCATTAGGTGTAGCTTGTTATGTGGATTAAATATGATGGGCAAAAAAGGTGCATTTTATAAAATTTTGATTGGGCCTAGCAAAAGATCTGAATGTGGCTTGCGTATACTGATCTGACCATAAGCCCCGGTGACTGCAGTGTACTTATTTCTAAATAAATAAAGATTCCCTCAGGTAGACTATATGTGGATGCATCTTGATCTTTTCATAACAATGCTACAGAAGTGGTTTGCCTCTCACTTCATCCAGTATGATTTTTTAAATTTTCTATTCGGGTCTATAGGCTGTGTGCGATTCCCTAGTGATCTCTCAAACCAGTATTAACTCAGACCCCACCTTGCTTAACAGGTGACGCCAGAAGGCTTCCTAGAACAGTGGTTCTCAAGCTTTTTAATGCGACCCCCAACCGGTCGTAAGTCGAGGACTACCCAATCGGTCGTAAGTCGAGGACTACCCAACCGGTCGTAAGTCAAGGACTTTCCCTGCCCGGGAGCGCCGCGCATGCATGGTACCGCCCCCTGCGCCGGCCGAGGCATAGCTGGCAAGCAGCAGAGATGGCGCAGGCCGACTGCCGGCTGGGCCACCAGCTGGTCCAGCCCAAGGGAGGTAAGGCACCCGCTGGGCCCCACACACACCAGCAACCCTCCCTGCGCCCGCCAGCCTCCCATCTCCCACCCCTGGCCCTCTTTTACTTACATTTTTAGTAGTTGCTCAGCAGGGAGGGGTGGAAGCTTCCAGACAGCTCGCCTTCGCTGCAGACAACTTGCAGCACCGTTTGCAGAATGAAAGCCAATAAAATTAGACTCTATTCAAGAGAGTCTATTCTATTGGCTTTCAAAAGCCAATGGAATAAAAGAGAGTAGCACAGCTAAGGAAAAGGGGAAAAAAATGGCGGACTGCGTTGTTTGGCGACCCCCATGAAATGGTTGTTTGACCCCAAATGGGGTCCCGACCCACAGGTTGAGAACCACTGTCCTAGAAGCTTCCACTCAAGAGACAAAGATAGCTTTAAAATAGCATTTATACTTTTGAAGCTATCACCTTATTTACACTAACTGGAGTTAAGGCCTATTATTAGGTCTTTCCTTGAAGTAAGCATGAATGGATGAATTATTTAACTCCCCATAAGCAAATAATTTCATAAATGTGTCAAATAGCACTATTTATTCAAAGCATGTCGCTAAAGTGGGGGCTTTAGAAAAGCTACCAGTATTAAGACAAGGGGATGTTTTGATTGGAAATGAGATTCATAAGTGCACAACTTTTGTAGTTCCCAATTTTACCTTTTAATTTGTATTTTGATCTATGT